GCTTTCTTCTGCTGCTTAAGCCAATATTGCAGTTTACTGCCCTTAACTGCCCTTAATGACCTACCCAGCAAAACATGGAATAATCACCAGGGGTGAATCTTTTATCAACTAGTTTTCTTAACTACTGTGGGTCATACCTGAGTGTAAGCCCCTTTATTTCCACAGAATATTCAACTGGCCTAACAGTATTCATTTGAATGAACAGCTGGACTATTGTCCTCCTTGCTCCATTATTTACCTCGAATCTGGGATTATTTCACATCAATTCACAGCTGCTGGCCATGAAGTGCTGTGAAAGAGCAAAGGCAGCATCCAGAACCACCTCTGACAGCATTCAACTACTGATGTCTCTGCTGAGAGAGCTCTCTGTGGCTCAAAAGTCACCTGTGAGCAATGATAAACACAAGGCACAATGTGGTGGAAAAGACTAAACTGTAAATCAGCCCACAGCCACCAGGATAAGCATGAGGGCGAGGCAATTCGGGGCCTCTCAACAGGAAATATGAAGAGCACTGTCAGTAACGCTCACACATAAAAATTTGAGTTCTGCAAAAGAACCTTTATCCTTTCATACCAACTCCCACTTCAGAGGAGCTCTGGGGTTTGAGGTTGGAGCTTAAGGCAACAACCAGACGTCTCCAACTCCACTGAGTGACAGAAGGCAAAATGCTGCCAGTTGGTTAGTTAGGGATATGCTGTTGTTGTGGGCAAACCTGGAGCACTGTCACAAAGAAGCACGCTGCAGTCCTCGCAGCCCCTAGCCTAGCAGCAAGCTGCAGACGGAGATGCAGCCCAGGGAAACTGATAAAAGCTCAGTCACAAATGCCTCAACAGCTTAGAAATTAGCTTCTGAGGAGGAGGGTAGTTTGAATTTCTCGACTCAAAGTGCTGGGATGATCCTGAACGGTGGAAGGATGCCTCCCCTCCATGCCTCCTTCTGGTAGGGAGTGAAAAGGTGGGCAGGAGGAAGAGCCTGAGCACTCAAGCATCCCTGCACCTTCATCCCACAGGCACAGCTCCATTATGTTGCACAAGTCCAAACACAAATCTGTAATTTGTCCAATAAAACATTTTTAGAAGGGCTAACTATTAAGCATTAGATGCTGAGCAAATAAACAGAAGGAAATTCATATGCATCAGAGGAAATAATGACAGGCTGTAGCTATTGAAAACTAGTAGGAAAGGAAATATAGCTGGAACATTAACGCTGCAATAACTTGCTCTGAAAGAGTATCATGAAGGGGGAAGGAAGAGGAAGGATGTGTTACTTCATGTTAGAGGTGCTCATGGGATTACAGATGACTCAAATCACAGACCTTCAATGCTTACAGACTACACCTGTACTCCAACTAAAGATGGAGTCACTGGAACACCTCTTACAAGCCCTGAAATTCTAATACTGAAGTGAGCCACTAACTCTTCATCTGTTCTTCATGTGTGGAAAGGAAAACAGGCTAATCACAGATGCACACAGCCTGGAGGATGTTTGCTGAAAACCTCATCTGACTAAAGAAAAAAAAATCCCCAGGTGTCCTAAAAAGATGACGATGATTTCTTAAAATAGAAAGTGCTAAAATTCTATATGGAATATTTCAATGTTGAATCTATTTTAGTGAGAGAGGAGACTTAACTAATCACCTAAAAGCTACAAGCAACTTAAGTATCAACCGGTTATCATGATCTACTCACAGTGACTTTGTTTTAGAATCAGTATATAAGTTATTGCCTGGTGTTTATAGTCTGTTTACACAACTGCTGGCACATGGGTCTAGCAAGAGAAGAGTCAGAGGCGCGAGACAAAGCAGAGAGAATTATTAAAAAAGAACCTACTGCATGCCAAAAGGCTTTTCCAAAATGGCAAGAGAGTTATGCTTGTGGAAAAAAAAAATCAAACCATTAAAACAAACAAACAAACAAACAAAAAAACAACAACAAAAACAACGAAACACAAACCAAAAAACATCCCAGAGAAGACAAAGAGCAGAAACTTCAGAAAGATATGCAGGTTTATAAAGAAAGGAGAGAGAAGATAAATTAGTGTTAAACAAATGAAGAAGGAACCTCTAAAGAAGCAGAGGAGCCAATACACTGAGGACTACTAATGGTGTTGAAGACAGTAAAAAGACATGTCTGAAAGAACCCACACAGATCAAGGTGCAGTCAGTAGGATCAAAAATGATGACTTGGGTAAAGAGGGATATTTAAAGAACAGCATGATGTGGAATTACCAGCACATATAGTTTGTTGGATTAAAAAATACTCTTTAAAATATTTCACAATTGTTAACAGAAAGACGCAAGCAGATAGGTTGCTAATGACCATCTCCAAATTCCAGGGATCATGTCTTCTTCTATTACAATTTTATCAGTTTGTCATATGGAGGTGAGGCAACATGAAACTTCTGCAGGAAAAGCCTGCACATTTAAAGGACCAACATAGTGCTAAATAATGAAAAGGGAAGGTTATTCTCACAGAGCATAGTTAAAGTCACAATAACATCTTCTGCAATGCAACTAAGTGCAAGTTAATAACTCTAACAAAGAACAGTCTGCAGACTTAAAGCAGTAGACATGCTTTGAAGACCATGACTTAAGGGCTTAGAGATGGAACAAACTGCTAAGTTCTCATTTTTGTCTTCTGTGATCATCACAGATAGCTGCTTCAGAAGAGGTACTCAGAGAAAGACACAGGAAAAAAATAAACCTAGCAAGGCTTCTGTCACAACCCCATGCTCAGTCCTGCTAGACACACTTCAAGAAGGTAGTGAAAATACTAGAGGGAGCTCAAAGGAAGGCCAGAGAATTGACCCCTGAGAGGGGAAAGCAAAACAAAGCAAATCCTACATGTGAGGCTGACAAGAGTTCACCCAGCTCAGCAACAAGGTTGAGAGCTGTCATGATGACTATTTAGGGCCACATTTCAAACTCACAGATAAGTTAAGAGCTGACAGTAGGAATTTCAGCCTTCGTTTTTTTTTCCCAGCAATGTTAGTAAATGAACTATAGAACAGTTCACTAGGACAGATGGTCAACTCATCAATGCCTGAAGTTTCCAAAATGAGATGACACACTTAAAGAAGACATGTCCAAAACAGCTTTTAGAGGGGGAAAAAAAAAATATCTATGGCTCAATCATGCAAAACGTCAGGTCAGAGGAGTATAATGACTCTTGACTGGTCTTCAAGTCTATGAATTGGAGTACTTAACCATAAAAAATTAGAAGAATAAAATGTCTCCTTTGAGACATGTTGTGGCAAATGTCACTTGTAAGAGCCCCTCCACTATTCAAAACCATCCAGAAACACACAAATGTGTCAGAGCCACTCACACTGAGCTCTGATTCAATAGCTGTTTACATTTGTTAAATAAACATACAAAAGGCTGGGTGTCAACCTGGTGCTGAAGGCACGGTATGAACATTTCAGCAGTCACTCTGAAGAACCCCCTGCAAGGTCCATCCCAAAGCACAGCTCTGACATCAGGCGGGACAAACGCCCGTGATGTTCCTGTGGAAGTGGGTGACGAAATCCACTTGCTGTATGGGAAGGCTGCTTCTTATAATGTGATATCCTATGCTATTGCGTCCATCACTCCCAGCCACATGCGAGCTGGAATAATGTATTCAAACCCAGCACCTCCTTCCACACACATAGATGAACAATTTTGGTATGAGAAAAGAAAAAAATATCAAAGCAGACATTCCCTAAGGGAGGTGGGGGGGCGGGAGGGGGGATAAATCACTTGTCATTCTCCACCAGTAATCAATCTTAAGTACATGCTTCTTTATTTCCAGAGGAGTGAAAGATTCTGGTGCTCTATCATCATTTTATTTACTTTAGCCCAGGAAGTGTCTCATCTGCTTTAAAAACTGTGGATCAATTCTGTATTAAAGTACCATCACTCTGCCTACTCTTGCAAAGTGCTATAAAATATGCTGAAGGGAACACTGGCATGTTCCCTAGGTGCCATGGTTCAAATAAAACCTGTAACAGAGAAGTCTTTTTAGAAAAAGCAACTACCACCTTCCCACTCACTGCTCCCTGAGCACCCAGTGGTCCATATGACATACTTCTTTTTCCTTTTCTGGTTTTAGTCAAAAATATAAACCAAAACCACATCACAGACTGCATGCTAAAGGTTAAGGAAATTACTGGTGGGCTTGACAAATCAGAAGGTAAGAAGGCCTGTCTTGAAGAACAGCATTTTATGTTTTGCTCATCCTCACACATGAATGTAATTCTTAAGAGCTGTCATTTAAATTAAGCCCAGAGCCTAGAGTCAGGTCCATTAGCACGCAAGCTTCTCTTCCACACTGATACAGAGCTAAAGTGCTGCACTGGAGTCCATGGTTTTAATCAACAGCTTATTCCTGTATTCTTCTCTAGATAGGAAATATTCACAACCACCCCATTTCACCTGCTGTTTTTTTTAAGTGCTGTGAAACATGTTATTCATAATGCAGTATTAAAGAGTCAGACTACCCTCACCTATAATCTATTTAACAAATTCCTCCAAAAGCCGAAACACTATATAACAAAACAAATAAGTCAATAAAAAGGGGAAAAAAACAAGTACTCAAAGCAAAAAGAATCACAAATCTAAGTAATTTGAATAGTGCCTTGACTTACGTATTTTAACAAAGCGTTTCAACAAAACCAAGAATTCTATTCAGGGTTCTTTTCACCTGAAGAGCTTGAAACAAAGTTCTCACTACCTCTAAGCTTAGGTCCACAAATTATACTATTGTATGCAAGCTAAGGACATAACCCTCAATTGTAGCAAGCTTTCTGGTATGCCTCAAAAACATATGCAATGTGAGACTTCAGAGGAATACCAATGTTTGTTCCCAGCAAGAAAAAATCAAACCAAACCCAAAACCTCCCCAAACCCTGCAACTGTTTATTGCCAAAACAATTTCCCACAATTCCAGTTGATATCATGCCCATGAATACTGCACCAGTTTGTTTTTTTTTTTTTTTCCTAAAGCACAACTATACTTACGAAAGGACATTCCCAATGTAGGCATAATATGAGCAGCAGTAGGGAGCAGTCCCATCACAGCAGTAAGCTTTGCAGTCATTATCACACTGAGCCAGACAATCTTCTGCTGAATAAAAATAACATTCATGTGGTCAAATGGCAGCACCAACAAAACACTGTACAGCACAGCTTTAAAGAAAATGCAGTCCAACTGTTCTGCAACAATCACAGGGCTTCACTCGAGGAGCAACCTGACCCTGTAATCTAATGGCAGCTCATTCCCACTCATTCTGCATTTCAGGAGGAAGTTCAGAGTTAGGTGCTTTGTGCCTGGATATTTTGTAGCTGACTCTATCAGTTATGTCTCATATTTCCTAAGTTAAAATTCACAAAAGATCATTTTAAAGCACCAAGACACCACGGATCACCTTTTTCCATTCCAGCAAGGAGTCCAGAGCGAAACCTGAGGCTGGGCTGCCTGTCTTGCTGAGCTGCAGAAGAGGAGAAGAAAGCTGCCTGGGAACTGGCTACCTCCCCGAGTCCCTGCCCAGCCGCAGTCCCGGGTGTAAATCGGAGCGGCCTGGGGCTCCTCATCCCCTGCCAGCTGGCAGCAGCTCCCCTCGAGCTGCTCCAGCTCCAGGGCTATGGCTGCGTGGCATGGCGGTGCCCAGCACGGGAACCAGTGGGGCCCTCTCTGCCCCACTGCCAAAGACTGTCCAGCCCAAGCCAGGCCACAAGTGTTTCCAGCAGCGATGTTCTGCTGGACTGCGGAACAACACAGACTGTGAAACAAGAGCTCTTTAAAATTAAGAAGCATGGCAGAACACAAATCCTTCTGCTGCCGTGAGAAACTATTTTAAAGCTACTGACCTCTTGTGCTGTCGCAACTCAGTGTTTTCAAAACCCTAAGTCAGGTGCCCTCAAGTAAATAACACTGCACAGTCTCTGGGGAGTGCCACTGCACTGTCAAAACACCCTTGGGAATCCCACGCTCCTGGAATCTCATCCTGGGCTCTCCTTCCCCACTGCCAGGGCCTCAACTGCAGCTGGGATGAATCCAAATCCCTGGCCTGCACACCATCACCCTTAGTGACCTCTCAATTCAAATGGACTCCCTGGCCTGCACACCATCACCCTTAGTGACCTCTCTGCCCACACACACAGAGACCTCAAAATGAAGATGACAGACTCTGCTCCTGCCTTCCCAATGGGGAACAGATCATGCTGACGAGTTCCCACTATCCTATGCCCATTGCTGCCTTTCACATGTACTGGCCCAATTTTTGGCATACTGGCCAAACCCCAGCTCATCTCAGCTGCTGCCACACTCCCATTCCAGCCCCCCCTCACGGTGCTTCCCACATCCCACGGAGTCTCCTTCACACGCTGACCGCGTACCAAACGGCTCGGGTTGCCGACCCACCCCCAAACCACCATCGTTCTCGATCAGTTTCAGCAGGTGGGCTCTGGGAGCCCGGTCACGCTCCAGCCCCGCTCGAAGCCAAGCGCCAGGCGGGGGCCGGGGCGCGCTGTGCAGGCAGCTCACCAAGGCAGCTGCGCCCTGCACCTCCGCA